ATTAATAAACTGATACCACTAATAAACTGATACCACTAACTAACCTTCCATATAATGTAGCGTTGGTTGAATTATGAATTAATAAACTGATACCACTAACTAACCATCCATATAATGTAGCGTTGGTTGAATTATGAATTAATAAACTGATACCACTAACTAACCTTCCATATAATGTAGCGTTGGTTGAATTATGAATTAATAAACTGATACCACTAACTAACCATCCATATAATGTAGCGTTGTTTGAATTATGAATTAATAAACTGATACCACTAACTAACCATCCATATAATGTAGCATTGGTTGAATTATGAATTAATAAACTGATACCACTAACTAACCATCCATATAATGTAGCATTGGTTGAATTATGAATTAATAAACTGATACCACTAACTAAACTTCCATATAATATAGCATTGGTTGAATTATGAATTAATAAACTGATACCACTAACTAACCGTCCATATAATATAGCATTGGTTGAATTATGAATTAATAAACTGATACCACTAACTAACCATCCATATAATGTAGCATTGGTTGAATTAATAAACTGATACCACTAACTAACCTTCCATATAATGTAGTATTCCATTGTTTCCTTTCATATTATTGTAGTTTTTTTGATGACGAGCTCTAATTCACATTTTTTTAAATGAATAATCTACTAGTGTGTATCATTAAAAGATTTGATTGTATATTATAAATATGCCATGATTTGTTGTCATCACACAGATGTAGCATTGGTATTTAAGTTAGTATGTTACGGAAGGGAAAGATTGCAAGTTATACACAACTGTACACGTATTTCAGTAGTTCTGTGAAGCCTTATTAGCAAATTTTTTATAGAAAGAATAAAAAAAAGCTAGTTAATTTTTGAAAACATATCTCGTTAAAAAATGAATATGAAAAAAAAAAACATGCATTTAATCTTGATTCCCTGAATTTTAATGTAATTGAGAATATACTTAAAAACATATTTTTTAAAGATACAGTTAATACTTCTGGTGTGGAGTTAAAGATGATTATTTTATTTTATTTTTAAAATACTTTGGGTATGAAACCCTGAACTCAATGAGAAATGTGTCGACATCACAGTGTGGAGCAAGTGAAGCTTGTTTCACAGAAATCACCTAACAGGTGGTTGTGTATTTATGATGTAACATAGGTGACACATATCATACATATTTCTGATTTTGTCACATTAACTTCATTTTACTTCCAAGTTTTATTTATTCAAACTGTCATAAAAATCTTTGTTTTCTTAACAGTTTTTGCAGTTTAAATGTTGGAGTAGATTATGTTTCGATCTTTGTGCTGATGCCTTTTTCAGGTTCTCAATACATTAATAATTTCCATACTTCAGATCCAGGACAGCCTACTCTACTTAAAACTTCTCCAGTTTGTAGTTTGTAAAAGTATCAGTTTTTATATTACTGTATATTTTCTTGTTTATTATAAATTGCAGGGTTTGATCCTCGCTCCTATCTTGCCAGTATTCCTAGTTCCTCAGCCGAACCATCTACGTCTTCAGCAACATCTACGCTTCAGCATCTTGAAGAAATTACAAAATCAGCAGTTAGTACTGATGAAACTTGCACTAGTGTAAAGAATTTTGCCCAGCCTACCAAGACAGAGCCTGTAGACATAACCTGTAAAAGTCCGGTACCTACATCATCCTTTGTCACTTCAAATTCCCTCTATCATGGCTTAGGCTCACTGAAATTTACCTCATCTGGTATGACACTGCCATTAGCTGTTACTCCTCTTCCAACAGAACAAGATCAAGAGAGAAAGGACAAGCCAAATATTTGTGCTTCTTGTAATATATCCTTCCAATCAGCATCAGAGCTTCAGACACACCTTACTCAGCACAAGGGCCAGAGGACCGTCCCCTGTGAAGTTTGTGGGAAGTTGTTCATGTCAGCAGAACGTGTGCGTATTCATTTTCGTGCAGCACACGGAGAAAAGGTATGCTCATGTGAAACCTGTGGGAAAGGTTTTACTCGTCAGAACAAGCTCTTTGAACACATGAAAACACACTTAGGGAACAAACGTTTCTTTTGTAACATTTGTAATAGAAGTTTCTCGCAGAAGAACCACCTGACTCGACATTCCATGATCCACACTGGAGAACGACCCTATCCTTGTGATTTCTGTGGTAGGGGATTCTACAGGAAAGACAAGCTGACTCGCCACAGACGAATTCATACGGGAGAAAAACCGTACGTGTGTTTCACATGCGGAAAAGCTTTTTATCGCAGGGACAAGCTCACTCGTCATTACAAAATGCACACTGGAGATAAGCCTTTTATGTGCCCTGTCTGTGGAAAGCGATTTGTAATGGAAGTAGATTTGAAGAAGCACAACTGTTCAGTTCACCAGTTGTCAAACAGTAGCCCCAGCAAGGCATCCTTCAGCCAATCGGTTCACCAGTTGTCAAACAGTAGCCCCAGCAAGGCATCCTTTGGCCAGTCGGTTCACCAGTTGCCAAACAGTAGCACCAGCAAAGCATCCTTCGGCCAGTCGGTTCACCAGTTGCCAAACAGTGGCACCAGCAAGGCATCCTTCGGCCAATCAGTTCACCAGTTGCCAAACAGCTCCAGCAAGGCATCCTTCAGCCAATCGGTTCACCAATTGCCAAACAGTAGCACCAGCAAGGCATCCTTTGGCCAAGTGAGTGCCACCAGCGGAGGAAAACACTTGCTTACACACACTGAAGAATCTCAACAACAACAACAACCACCACTACTTACTGGAGTTCAAAGTGAATCTTCAGGGCAACCTCAGGCATTTCAAAACATCACTCTCACCAGGTAAAATGCTAAATAGAACTTTGTGTGTATGTGTGTGTGTGTGAACCTCCTCAAAGCATTATTAAGACATGTTAATAATCCTACCAGATAGAAGTATTCGTCTTTACATGGGCATTCTAAAAATACAAGTATCGTACGACGAGTCCTGCTGGTAAACAAAACCAAGTACTTACAAGATTAACGTGTGTTGTTAAATGCTAGAAAGACGTCACTATTTTAGTGAAACATTTGATTCAGGATCATCAATGAAATTCCTAACCTACCAAGAATACTTTTTTTTTTTGCAAAATGAATCTAATTATAAATTTTAGTTTTTTAGTTGTTTTTTTTTTTGAGCTAACCAGTTTTATATAGATTAATTGGACACATGTTTATGAGAGGACTTTTTAAAATGATTGTATCATTTTTTTTGCTGTATTTTCTTTTATTTTTATATCTTGTAATACGAGTTCCATTGTCAAAAAAAAAACATTGAAAAAAGTTTTTTTTATTTACTTGAATTCATGTACACATATGGTATATAAAATCTTATGTCTCAAAATACTCAAAATTTGGGTTGTTTCATTACTCTTAGGAACGACTTTGGCTAGATTTATTTAGTAAAGAAAAAAGCTCATTGAAACAAGGTTTTTAAATTTTAAAATGGGTAATGAAACTAAGGCCTTTATTTCATTCTTAGATGTGTACACACACATATAGCAAGAATTCTGTTTAAGTAGAGGCTTACTGCTGAAACTAAACCCAGATATGAAATATTAGCAAACAAATTCCTCAAGTTGCTAAGTACATTGAAAAGTGAAGTTAGTTAACTAAAAATAGCAGAGAGACGAGCAGCTGAAAATAAAGTGCACATGTAAAAACATGTAAATACCTTACATCTGTTTGAAATAAAGATTACCTCACAAACATCAAAGTTTATTTAGCATACTTTTAATGAACAGACGAGCACATCTGACTGTTGCACATGCGAAAGTTTATATAGGCTTAGAACCCACTCTTAAAACAAGTGTACAGACAACTTTCTTTTACATTTAAATCTTGCTGTTAAAGGAGGTATAAATATTATTTGTGAAATCTGCACCTCTCTATTTCATAACATATTTTTTATATTATATTTGCTCAAAAATATAACTTTAATCTTTCATACAGTTCTTCTCATTTACCAACTGTAAAAGTTGCTAATCGCTAATTAAGATGATATACAGAAAGTTTTTACACCATGTAGAATTATCGTGGGCTAGAAAATTGCTGGCGATTATTTCAGTTTTGCTAGTGAAACTTTGAAGGCACTATAAAATTTTTGTACATACTTCAGGTTCTTAATATGAAGTATAAATACACCCGTGATAAATACATTTATGTTGAATAATGTGAGTACACGAGTTTGTTGTAATTGTTTTGTGATCCCTGGTCGAGCTTCTTCCCATACTGTGGCCAAGTATTAGGAACAGTGAGACTGCAGCTTTAATACTTTTGAATTGTTTCCCAAGACAAATAGCACATGGGCCAGTCAGACTCGCACTACCCAGTCTCTGCAGTGGTTAGAAATAGCTTCTTCCCATACTGTGGCCAAGTATTAGGAACAGTGAGACTGCAGCTTTAATACTTATGAATTGGTTCCCAAGACAGGTAGCACATGGGCCAGTCAGACTCGCACTACCCAGTCTCTGCAGTGGTTAGAAATAGCTTCTTCCCATACTGTGGCCAAGTATTAGGAACAGTGAGACTGCAGCTTTAATTCTTTTGAATTGGTTCCCAAGACAGGTAGCACATGGGCCAGTCAGACTCGCACTACCCAGTCTCTGCAGTGGTTAGAAACAGTGTGTACAGGTGGTTGTTTGTTGGAGATAATAATGAAAAAGAAATTAGATAACCTGCAGGCCCGGCATGGCCAGGTGGTTAGGGCGCTCGACTCGCAATCTGCGGGTCCGAATCCCCCTTC